TCACTCTACCATGGGGCCCTATGACACAGCTCACTCTACCATGGGGCCCTATGACACAGCTCACTCTACCATGGGGCCCTATGACACAGCTCACTTGTGTCTTGATAAGGATCTAAATAGCTGGAGACCAGCATTTCAGAAGCTGGATCTTTCCAAGGGACATTTATCCCCATCCTCTCTGAAATAAGACACTTGACACATTAGATGCTGTAATACCATACAGCTCTGCCAATCTTCTGGTTGAGAGGTAAACATGCTACCATTAATTTTTTCATTGTTATAAGATACATTTTGAAGAGGAGAATAAGAGAATTTGCATTCTTTCATAGATCTGTAATATTTAAGTCATCAATATATATAGTATGTCATGTTTTTAAGTAATTAATAAACAAAATAAAATCTAACTTTTTTTTCTAAGTTAAATAAGGGCTTCAGAATATGAATTCTTTCTCTAATCACTGAATTTTTTTAAACGCCGCTGATGGTTCTTAAAATACACACTTGCTACCAACTAGATGAATTCAACTGCTCTGGAGTTAAGAAGCAGCGTGTGCACACACACACGTGCACCCACACGCACAAAAAGAACTTCACCTCAAAAACTATTTGTGAGAATTCCCAAAGGTTTAAAAAAATGAATAGGTGAAAAACAACCAATCTCACATATGCCAATCCAGTTGTCCTTTTAAGATTTTTGTTTAAAATGTCAAACTTGTTTTCTTCAAAATGTGAGTTTATTACTCATTAAATTCAGACCTTTCTGAGTCCGGACTTGCGGTGACATCGCCAACACAGCCTCACCCTCAGCAGTAACAGAGAACTTGGCAAGCTAAGTATGGCGTCTCCGAAATAAAGGTGCTGAGCCCATTTTTAATTGAGGGCGGTACCAACCTGAAGTTGGGAGAAACTGGAGCCAACTAAACAAGCAAAAACGTCCTACTAAGAAATACTGGAGAGCCTGTCGGTGGCACCAGCTCTAGTTCTAACAACATCAAAACCAGTGAAACTTTACAAATTTTCCAACTCCTTCAAAAACAAAGCGTTCCAAGGCCACTGAAAGATGGGATAAAGAAAGTAATTATCTGTGGTCAAGAAAAGATAATGGTAATGGGGATTTTCTTATGTAAAATGAAATAAACAGTAAATTCTGAAGTATGTGTTTTTAAAAGAAAGAACACTGTATTCCCTCATTCTCTTTCATTAGCATTTTTCACACACACACAGACACACACAGCGCTAGTTATTATTTCACATTTTTCAGGTCTCTTCATGATCAACTTTAAAAATAGGCACCTCCTGGTGTCTATCTTTCTCTATTTTGGATATAAATGCTTTTGATGTTTTAAGCCTGCAAAGAAAACATATAGCAACAGACCTGAACAATAAATAAAAACTAAGCGTCAAGACAGAGGAAACAAAGAGGATTATAATTTCAGCCGGGATGTGTTTTGGTTCTGTGAAAGTATCACTCTTCAGTCCTACCTCCACTGATACAAAAAAAAAAACCCTTTGCCATCTCCCTCCAATACCAAAGTGCGTCTGTTTAAAACTGAACTGAAAACCAAAAACCTTAGTCATTTTTGGCAGATATCCTATGCAGCAAAAATGAAGTGATTTTCCCTTTCCCTACTACTCATTTTAAAGCTGTATACAAAACGGCTAAAGGCAATACTTCTAGGACAGCAGAGCTTACAAACTACCGATTGTGTTTTTGTTTCAAGGAACAAAAAGGGAAAGGAAAAACAAAACCAAATGAGAATACAGAGGAGAAACCCTGAGGCAAAAATGGCTTTTCCTTTAGCAAGACTTCCCCGGGCTCTCCAACTCCAGCTCATAAGGTACCAGCAATCTTCTGGGACGCAAGGCCTTCCTCCAGCCAGAGGGTGGCGGCAGAACCACCGCGGAGTGTCCTGCGGTGGATGCGCCGGAGCCGCAGCAGGTAGAGGAGGATGGAGAGCAGGACCACCAGGAAGCAGCCCGAGAACAGGTAGTGATTGTAGACAAAGGAGAAGCCCCGCCAGTGAGCGTGACTGGCCCGGAAGGTCTCCTGCTGGATATCTCTGCCCACATGGAAACAAAACAACAGAACAAACAGAACAGATGAGAGAACTGAGAACTAACCAGGTGAGGAACGCAAGGTCACAGTGCACAGGACATGGGTTGGAGGACTTGGTTTAGGACCCGGTTCTGCAGAAAAGAACTGTCACCTCAGTCTCTGAAGCTCAGTTTCCTTACCTCTAAAATGTAGGCTACTACAGCCTTACAGAGGGTGGCTGTAAGTATTAAGGAGATAACATGTAGAAGTGTTTTCCTAAGTCTGCAGCAGTTATCAGTATAATTTGGGTAACAAAAATTATAGAAATTTAGAAGAACTGTGAGGGTTTCACTAATACACAGAAGCCAACGTGGAATCAAACCACGTCTGTGACCAGTAATACTGAACACTCACATCTTTTGCAGTTAACCCAGTTAAACGTATTGCTGGGAGATGCTCAATTAAATGAAGGGGATAAAACCCCCCAAAAGCTAGTACCTCATTTGTCAGTGAACCAGGGTTCTTACCTGGGGTCAGCTGACAGCCAGGTCTGTGAACTTGAATGGGGAAAAACGTGCATCTTTTTTTTTTTTTTTTATAATTTTATTTATTTTTTCCACCAAAGCCCCAGTAGATAGTTGTATGTCATAGTTGCACTTCCTTCTAGTTGCTGTATGTGGGACGCGGCCTCAGCATGGCCGGAGAAGCGGTGCGTTGGTGCGCACCCGGGATCCGAACCTGGGCCGCCAGCAGCGGAGCGCGCACACTTAACTGCTAAGCCACGGGGCCGGCCCAAAACGTGCATCTTTATTTCACCAATCTCTGACTAAATGCAGTATCTCCTTAGACCATGAAGGCAGACAAGACTGCAGCACGACTCTGACCTTGTTTCCAGTGAAACTCACAGACCTTGTGTAGCATATTATGGTGTTTTACAAATGCCTCAAAATATCAACATGATCACTACAATGAAATTACAGAAATTACTAGTTCTGCTGCCAGATCTTCTTATTTAATGAGTTAATAAAGACATATATTACTATACACCAAATTTGTTCTGTAATATTTTGATAAATATATTTTAACACAACGGTTTCCCCTGTAACCTATGTATTATATTATGCATTAAAAACAGTATTTTAAGAAGGGACCCGAGGCCACAAAGGTTAAGCACCCTGGCAGTAACTCTTCTGTGTAGGAGTTAGGGAACAGACAGTGAGAATAATCAAACACTTCTGTGCTGCGGATGATGGATGGGTAAGGCGGGAAGGGAGGACACACTGTGGGAGGTGGGGAATTCTACAACCCTGCCCACGGCCAGCGCTACCACCACCACCCCAAACATCCACAAACCACAGTTGCCACGATGCATCAGAATTGCAGAAAAACATCTTTTGTTTGATTCTCGTTACCAAGTCACAGCCATACCTTAAGGGTAAAAAGCGGGTCCTGTAAAGGATTGCTCCGAGAGTCCACTGAACCTCCTTGTCATAAACTTGCAAGGCTGTCTTTAAATTTCTATAGCTGACAGGAAACGAAAAGCCCCTATGAAACACCTCGAACATCCAGGCAGATTTGAAGCACTGATACCTATGAACACCAAGCACAAACATAAGCGGGACTGATTCACTTGTCAAAATGAACCAGACACAGAGACAGCCTTCCCCTGTGACCATCGTGGCTGCAAGGGCTTCAGGCGGCCAGTGTTCTGAGCAGCCAAACCAACCGGACGCGTTTCAAGCTGACTGACTTGGTTTATGACCCTTATCCCACAACATGAACAGTTTGCCTGTTAAAATCAATTAGCTCATGAAACTCAGTCTCAGTATAATTTAATACATTGTTGCCATGACAGGTTTTTTTCCCTCAGGCATTCCATCATTTATTCATTGAATAAATATCGAGTAAGTCCCAGCCTCTGGATCTCAGTTTCTTTATTATAAAATGAAAAGGTAGCAGGGTCCTTTTCAGGTCCCTTTCCTTTCCTTTTCTCATATTCTACGATTCTAAATATTTATCAGAGGCTTACTTTTTTTTTTTTCTGTGAGGAAGACTGGCCCTGAGCTAACATCTGCCAATCCTTCTCTTTTTGCTGAGGAAGATTGGCCCTGAGCTAACATCCGTGCCCATCTTCCTCCACTTTATATGGGACGCTGCCACAGCGTGGCTTGACAAGCGGTGCCTTGGTGCGCGCCCGGGATCCAAACCAGCAAACCCCAGGCCGCTGCAGCGGAGCGTGCGCACTTAACGGCTTGCGCCACTGGGCCGGACCCTCAGAGGCTTACTTTGTGCAAGCTCTGGGCTAAGCAAGTAATAAGATATAATAATAAGATAAGTCAATGTACTTAAATGACATAATAAAAGAGAATTTTTTAAAAAGCTACAAACAAGTAAAAAGCAAAGCAAAATATGAAAACACCACTAGAGAGACACAATAAGCACTCTGGAGACTCAGAGAGAGGGATGGAGTCTGGTTGAATAGACAGAAGAAGATTTGAAAGGGCCAGCATCTGACCTGACTCTGACGCCTGGGCAGGCCTTCAATAAGTGAAGGCTGAACAGGGCAATAACAGGTGGAAGGAGGCGCAAAAACTATAACAGATGTTTGGGCACAAACATTTGTTGTCCCGTTTGAAAGGAGCCCAGGGCAGATGAGGAGGAATAGTGATTGATGAGGATAGAAAGGTAGGCTGGGGCCAGGGTATGGCAAGCCAGGGGGCCAATACCGAACCCATGGTTTCTTGGAAACACCCGGGCCTGGCCGCCCATGACTTACTTCAGCCTATGGAGGTCAGCGTGCGAGGCATACAGCCCTCGGTCAAAGCGCTCCCTCAAGATGGACCACTTTGTTGCACAATAATCCTGAAAGAAATTTCACCAAAATAAATCACCAGATTCAAAATTTTATTAAACATTTTTTTCATTTTAAAAAGGGTTTACCAAATTCATATTCACAACAAACATATCCTTCCAATTAGGAAACACCAGCTTAACACATACGTGCACCCTGAAGACAAGACTTAAAACACTCCATGAATACCTGCTGATTAGCAAAGACAACGCTTGTTCTTTGCCTTAATATTCTGCTAAAGTTATTGTTAGGGAGAATTTCACTGCCCACAACCAACCTCTCCTAAACCGCTTAGTTTCTCCCCCTAGGACTGCATGCGACAGGCAGAAACTTTTAGAAAAGTGAAGCAGTTCAGACTGAGTGCCTGTGTCTTTGGCCACATGGTACAAGGTTCTGAGAACAGAAAGATGACTACAAAAGGCTTTGTCTTCAAGAGAAGGGCCGTTCTCTGTACTAACAGTAATATTCATAGCTAACATGCACCCAGTGCTGAGTGAGTGCCTTTTCTGAATGTACACTTAACTCCTCAACACAGCTACTCCTCTAACCTCTATTTAAAGGATGAAGAGACTGAAGCACAGAGAGGTGGTGAAACTTGCAACAGGGAACACAGAGCCCAGCACTCAGCCTGGGGTGAGAGGGTAAGGACAGGCATTTCAGGCAGAGGAAACACCAAGAACAAAGACAAGACAAGGAGTAGCACAGGTGGGAGGGAAATGAAGAGCTGTCTGATCGGGTTAGAGTATAAATGATAGGTGGGAGAGGAGGCTACAGGGTGGGGATGACTTGCTAAGGCATTTAGAATTTATCCTGGAAGCAAAAGGCAGTCGCTGAAGGTTTTAAATAGGCGAGCAGGAGGCTATACTTGTGTTTCAGACAGAGGCTTGGACTAGGACAATGACAGTAGGACAGAAGGCAGGGAGGGGTTGAGAAATGTTTATGACATGAAATAACATGCTTGATGACTGGCTATACGGTGGTGTATAGTGAGGGATGAATGAGTGACAGGGAGAAGCCTGTAACTCCCGGGTTTCGGGGAGGGACTCGGGGGTTAGTGGTGCCATTAACCGAGACAGCATAACAGGAGGAGCATGGGAGAGCATGGTGGGTTTGTCTGGAGTTGTGAAAGCTAGCAGGCACTGGGCAGGGGTCAGGACTGGAGCCTCTTCTCAAGGGGTAGCAGCAAACCCTGAGCATGGATGAGACCATCCAAGAACTTGAAGGTCAGAGGGCCAAGGGTGGATGTCTGGGATCACCAAGGTTTAAGGGGCGTGAAGGCGGAAAACCCAAGAAAGAGCCTAAGAAACTGTCAGAACGGCAGGGGAGAACAAGAGAATAGGAGCCCCGGAGCTAAGAGATGGGAAGGCTGCGAGGAGCACTGTCAGATAATTACATTATTACAGAAATACAAAAGACAATAATCTGGAAGCCACTGGTGACCAGAGCAGTGCATGGAGTGGGGGGTAGAAGTCAGCTCACAGTGGAGTTTTTACTTCTGCTGTGACTATTTCTCCTGCCCAACCAAGGGAACAGAATTCCCAACATTTTCCCTTCTCTTGACCCGGGCCTCCAAACGGGAAGGGAGGATGGAACCTGCCGCTGTCCACGCAGTCTTGCAAAAGCAAGCAGAAGACGGTTTCCTTGAAGGTTACCTTTGCAGCTTTAGTAAATGTAGCAGCATTATAGTCTCCTCCCATTCGTAACACATCCTCAGTGCAATAGTAGAATTCAGAAAAGCCATAGAATTCACTGTTCTGGAAGTGAATTGGGGGCTGATAGACCCCATTGAGGGAAGTCTGAGTCTCGTTTGTTTTATTCATGAAAGGCTGGATAGTCTCTCGACACAGGTCAAAGTCTCCTGTTCCCCGTAGGTACACAGTCTGTCCATTTTGCTGAATTTCATCTTTAATGTCTAGGGGTAAGCAGGGGTCCAGGTACGGAGTGTCAGGAGTCAGACCAGTCTGTTTTCCCAGGAGCCTACAGGACAAAGAGAAACTTCACGTTTTGGAGAAGTGGCTGCAATCAGTGTTTCCAAATACGCTCTGTGGAACACGAGTCCTGCAAGGTGTTCTGTGGGGACACAAGGGTTCTGGGGTAATTAAGTTAGGAAAATACGCACTTGAGCCCTTCTTGGAGATCCACAATACACACCTGCGTACAGCAGACACCTTAACGAGTCCAGTGAAACAGCCTCCTGGGCCGATGCCCCACCACTTCCCGTCCCCTGTGAGACAGCCAGGTGCCCCTGGCTGCCGTGCTCCTGGTCAGTCAGCTCCTCTCAGCCTCACGGTCACTGCAGTCGAATGCCCGCCAATGTGTTGTTCCCAACCCGATTTTGCCACTAGAGCTTGTGATTTTAATTATATACAGATGAAAAGTGACCGTGAAAAGAAGTAACTGGTCCTGCAATAACTAGGTTAGATGCCTTAGAAAAATATGAAGAGGCAAGTTGCTATAAAACTGCTGTCAAATTAGGTATTAGCAAGATAAAAAAGAAATTAGGAAAAATTAGTAAAAATCTAGAAGAACTTGGTGTCAAACTGCTTCACAGATGTCTTTAAGTCCTTGGTATTCTTTAAAGAAAGCCAAAATGACATTACCATGAGGGGGTGCAGTGCATGCCACAGAAATGATGGCTGTAGCCCAAGAAAGGACTTGAGTACAGAGCAAAAGATTGGCAAGTGAATACACAAATTAAAACAAAATGCCTCAGGTTTGATTCTATTTTTATAATTCTGTTTTAACTGATTTTCAAAAGTTAATCAACTATTGATCCCAACTGCTGCAGGTAACAGAGTTTCTAGTACTACAGGCTCTGAGAAGTCCCGTAGACAAGGAATCTTAGCTTTGTTCTCTGAAATGCACTATGCTAACTACTTCCCAGGGACATTTCTGGGCATTAAGATCTGTCGTCCTACTATGTGTGTCACCATTAAACAACTGAGAAACAGGAAAGCGCTTACGACAACTGGAGTTACGTTAGTGTCTGACACCATGAAGTCACACGAGCCTGAAGGGGGTCTAACGGTGAGGAGAGTGCCTGCATTCAACTCCTGGTCATGAGCAGTACGTCAAGTTTTCATTTGCCACTCAATTGACAAGTTGTTTATTCCTAGGATCAGGGCAACTCAAAATGCTCTAGAATGTAATAATTTAAGGTCTTTGCCATTAATTAAAAATGTTTAATTAATTTTAAAAAATCAATCATCACTACTAATGGCAAAGAGATAAATGGGCACTTCCAGGCTCAATTCATGACATACGTATAAAGTGATGACTAACATTTATAATTACTATAAAAACCCCAGACTAGTCCAATGTATGCTTCATATGCTTCATACTACTGCTTCCAGATGCCCTTTATCTACATTGAGAAGTAGCACTGAATTGTCCATTATACAAGCCTCCTCACATTAAAACCAATTAGTAAAAATTCAGGTTGTAGAAAAAGGTGTTTCTCCAAAATTCTGATTCAAATGTTACTCATAAAATATTTCTATTTTAATATTATTATAAAAAATTATACAAAAATGTGCTATATATCACTTTTTTTTTTTTTTGTGAGAAAGATCAGCCCTGAGCTAACATCTGATACCACTCCTCCTCTTTTTTTGTTTTTTTGCCAGGGAAGATTGGCCCTGAGCTAAGATCTGTGCCCATCTTCCTCTACTTTATATGGGATGCTGCCACAGCACGGCTCGACAAGCAGTGAGCCAGTGCGCGCTCGGGATCCGATCTGGCGAACCCCGGGCCGCCGCAGCAGAGTGCGCACACTTAACCGCTTGCGCCACAGGGCTGGCCCCATATAACATACCACTTTTAAAAAGATACTATGGGCCTACCAATCTCGTAACTCACACTATTCAACTAATGTCTGGGCAAACAAAGGACAAGTTTTTCTTATTCACATATGTGAATTTCTGGAAAATGTGGAACTGAATGGCTCTGACTTGGTTTTTCTTCAAGTTTAAGCCTCCACAGGTTTTTTAAGATTAAACTGATTAAGGAAAGATACTATCATTTATCTCTATGAATTAGGATTTTTCCTCTCAAAAGTGTTTCATAAAAACAAACAAAACAAAACAGTAATTAATAGAATATTTCAGATTTTTTTATTCATCCAAATGGCTTTTCTGTTCTTATGGATTAATTTTAAATAAATAATTGCTATGTACTTATAAAATAAATCTAAACTGATAAAGTGCTGCTTTTATTTGTTTTATGTATTTTCTATCCCAGAATCTTCATAAACTCATTATTTTTTTTTTTTCCCGTGAGGAAGATCAGCTCTGTGCTAACGTCTGCCAATCCTCCTTTTTTTTGCTGAGGAAGACTGGCCCTGGGCTAACATCCATGCCCATCTTCCTCCACTTTATACAGGACGCCACCATAGCAAGGCTTGACAAGCGGTGCGTTGGTGTGTGCCCGGGATCCAAACCGGCAAACCCTGGGCCACCGCAGCGGAGCGTGGACACTTAACCACTTGCGCCACCAAGCCAGCCCCCATAAACTCATTTTTAAGTTTCACTGCTAAAAATGTTTACAACCACTAACTTTGACTCCTAGATCACTTCTTTCTCTTGAATAACTTCCTTCACTATGGTCATATCCACTACCAACTACATGGGCTGTTTTTCAATAACAGCGCCAGAACATCACCTAATTCAATTCTTTTTTTTTTTTTTTTTTGCTGAGGAAGATTTGCCCTGAGCTAACATTTGCTGCCAATCGTCCTTTTTCTATATGTGAGCCGCCACCACAGCATGGCCACTGACAGACGAACGGTGTGGGTCTGCACCGGGAACTGAACCCAGGCCGCTGAAGCGGAGTGTGCTGAACTTAACCACTAGGCCACCAGGGCGGATCCCCTAAGTCAATTTTATCCTCACTTACTGCAGGCCTCCAGGACATCCGCAGTGGCCCAGGTGTTGAGTTCCCCAAGGACTCTGCAATCTGGAATAGCATTACCCAGGCTCAAAACTATTTTAATATCCTGAGAGTGCAATTTCTAATCCATCAGGGGAGGTGTGAGTCTGAGAGAGAGATCCTCCTTTAGAGCCTGCTGGGATGTTGGGCTGAAGGCAGAACCCTGGTGTCCTTCCACCTCTTCTCCCAGCTCAGCTGGCAGGGGAATAAAAAGCTACCACCTGCTCTGCCTGGATATGTTTTCTATGAGGAGAGACCTAGGTTTGAAAGTGACTGCCAACTAGTGGAAGGTGCTTTACCTGTTCTTTTGAATGGTGTTGGCAAATATTCTGTCTTCATATCTCTGTCGCGCAGCATTGCCACCAAACCCAAGAAATGTGGCCACGTAGACTCGGTACACATGCTCAGTTTGGTGAACATCACATCCCAAGTTAAATTCAGCTAACAAGTTCTTAGCTACTTCTTCCTGCAGACGTAAGGATAACAAACTAATATTTTAAGCAAAACAAAAAATTATTTCCTGTTAAACAGAAAGATCTAAAAAGATTCTCATCTAAAAGGATCAAAAATGTCTGCTTCTGCATTTCCCAAGGATCCTTCTAAGCATCCCTAACTCAACATAACAATTCTGACTTAAGAAATTTCAGATGTGCTGCACATTTGTGATACTGTCATGACTTTTTGAAAAAGGAAGTTAACGATATAGTTCATATCCTCTGATCTAGTACATCTATTTACGGAATCCTATGCCTTGGAAATAATCCTAAACATTGAAAAGTCTCTATACACAAAGATGTCCTTTGCAATTCTGTGACAGAAAAAACTGAATGTCTTCAAATAAACAACTCCAAGGAAGGTTTAATTAATTATGGTAATTAACAGTTTATGGAAGAACATGCTTATGTGCTGTTAAATAAAGAACACAAAATCATATAAACAGTTAAGATCAATTATAACCAGCATATTTTTAGAAACTATAAATAGCAAAAGAAAAATGAAAAGAAATACACCAAAATGCTAACTGATTTTTTTGGATGAGGCATCCATGGGAAATTTTTAATCCTGATTTTTCAGTATTTTTTCCAAACTTGCTTTATATGTATTTTTTATCTTCAGGGAAAAAACGTGACTTTTTACAGAGTGGAATAGTTTCTAGAGGCACGTCTGGATGGGAAGTAGGAAACACAAATTGTAATACTTGAATTTACTAAGCATTTTTCTAAGGAGCTTAATAAATATATCAATCATGTTTATGGCGCAAACACTCGGTGCCCAGCAGTGTGTCCGATGCATTACATGCCCTATCTCATTTCAGCCTCATGACAACCCCATGTTGGAGGTACTTGCATTCACATTTATAGATGAAGAAACCAGCTCAAAGAAGTTAGACTACAAAAGGTCACACAACTAGCGAGGACAGACAGGGTGCTGACGCAGCCTGCACTGGTCCAGCTCTAGTCTTTTTAACCAGCATGCTGTGCTACGGGACAGCCAGGCTGTCCAGCCTGTGCAGGAGGCCAGGCTTCAGAAGTAATTCACAGCTGAATGGACAGAGTCATAAAGACACGGGGAATTCAAGAGATGCCTGGAAACTCTCCTGGTGCTCTCTATACAAGGCTGCCCTGGCAGTGACTGAGAGCACTGAAGACGACGGAGAAAAGTCAGTCAACCATCAGTGGATACAAACCTCAGCCCTTTCCAAAGCCAAAAGCTGCCTGAGCCATAAAAAAAAAGTATTTTCCCCAATTATACCTTAAGAAATCTGATGCTATTAGATTAAGGTTTACAATACCTGTTGAGAAAGGAAGTGATTGCAGAGAAAATATAAACAAAAGCTCAGGGATGTGAATGACATGTATACCAAAGACAACCCCTCAGTTCAGAACGCAAACCAGCTGATTCAACGAACAAACACACACGTCAGTGGAGGTCTGCCTTGGTTCCCTCCTGCCTCTTTTCTCCTGGGTTGAGAAGGCGGTACCTCAGCAAGCACAGTAAGATGTGTTCAGACTCAGAAACAAAACAAAAATGGATGGAGACACGTTAAATGAAAACCAAAGCAAACAGAAGGAAATTTGTACAGATAATAACCTGCTGTGAGGAGGCAAAGCTTACAGTTTTGGGGACTTCATACGCTATCTGAGTGGACACGCCTCCCATGTCGAGAATACCAGCCGTTCTTTTACGGAGAATGGCTTGGCTGCTTTCACTGCCGGGAATGTTAACTTCCACAACTGCCTCATCATCTGGAAAGAACAAGAAACAGCCATCGGAACAGAACAAATCCAGAGAACTGGGATTTTCTGAAGAGTCACCTTGTTTTCATGGTACGTCTCAAGCATATCCAGCAAATGCAGCCCACTCCTCCCAACTGAGATCAAGTTAATTGTGTGAAACAGCAGCTCCTCTCACTCTACTCCTACACACACAGCTGTGTCACAAAACTCAGCTCCTTTTTTATTCTTTGGATTAAATAGAAAAAAACCATAATTTCCAGTTAGACACATTAGCTGGAAACGTGATACTTACCATCTTCAATATGCTCAAACCGTCCAAGGACAAAGTTAATGCCGATCCACGCATACACACCTATGACCATTTCACAGGAAGAAGAGAAGAAGAACACAGCCGTAAAATATTTTGTATAATTCTTATCAACACAGTCTGTGCCAACACCTCATTTATTTACTCCCTGACAATCTGTGAAACCATCACTTGAAGTAACACATTTCTACAGATGTATTTTATCTTTTCTTAGTGGTTTTCCAAAATCTCTTACCTTAAAAATTTAGTTTCATCTCATTTACATAGGTTGAAAATATGATACCCAAGGTGCTAGTTTCTCTCTGAAATTTATGGGTTGTTTTGAAACAGTGGAGTTTTAACTTTTCATGAAGTTAAACTTACCAATTCCAAAGTTTTAGAAACGAGTTAGGGGGCCGGCCCCGTGGCGTAGCGGTTAAGTGTGTGCACTCCGCTGCTGGCGGCCCGGGGTTCGGATCCCGGGCGCGCACCAAGGCACTGCTTGTCAGGCCACTCTGTGGTGGCGTCCCATATAAAGTGGAGGAAGATAGGCACAGGTGTTAGCCCAGGGCCAGTCTTCCTCAGCAAAAAGAGGAGGGTTGGCATGGACGTTAGCTCAGGGCTGATCTTCCTCACAAAAAAAAAAAAAAAGAAAGAAAAGAGTTAACTTTGACTCTTCCCTTTCCTTTTCCCCTCACCTCCACTCAGCTGCCAAGTCTGATTCTCTTTTTACACTTCCTACACCCAGTCGGTACCCACTTGTATTACCACCTTGATTTAAGCCGTTAGAGAGAGGGGCAGTGATAGCCCGTGTAATTTATCTGCCTGCCCCTACTCTCGCACTCCAGTCCACTCCTCCACTATCAGACTGATCAACGGAACAAAGTCCAAATTCCATAGCCTGACACTTCAAGACCTGTCCAACTTTGAATATTCCAGCCACCGTTCAGAAGGGCCAGAATCCAGTCAGGCTAAACATTTTTGTTCCTCCATTCATAGTGCATCCTTTCCTACCTATGTTGACTGAGATCATTTCTTCAGCCTGGAATGTGCTTCCTATCTCTCTCAGAACCCTGCCCTTACAATGCTCTGGCACGCTGTATTTATAACTATTCCTTGAGGCACAGTTCAAATGTCACTTTCTCCACGATGCCCCTAGCTAGAAAAAAAATTGTCTCCCTCCTTTGAACTCCCGTACTTTTTCCTTATCATCTTACAGTATCTAAAACTCTACCTCACACAGCAGCTGTGTACCTCACTTGTCTGTGAACAGCGCAATGGCAATATCTGAATTTCACCCAATTTTGTATTCTCTGCTGTGCCGTTCACAGAGGAGTATTTGCTGAAATGATAGATGATTTTGAAATAAAGGCTTTTGGTCTCCATTTCTAGCAAGCTATACCCCAAAAAACTGCACTGACTTGTCATTTTATTTTCAAGTAGAATCATTTCTTTGAAAACAGAACTAATACTTTCTTAGTGTATCAAAGTCAAGAATAATTTCCCTGTCCTAGCAAGTAAATCAGCAGAAGGCTCCAATAGCTCAGTAATTAACATAATTCCAGAAAGCTGTATAACTCAGGCAAGAAACACAAACTTTTTCTATCAAAATGAGTCCAAAATATATTTCCTAAATGTGGTGAAAACAAAGTATTTTTTTAATGGCTTAATGTTTGGGTAATAAAGACCAGTCATGTAAGAAACTAATTTTGTCATTTAAAAATTATAATATTCCAAGGCTATGGTTTCCCAAATTTTAAGGTATTAAGAGTAATTTCATAAAGTGTACACTGGGGAAAATGAGGAGGATTTAAAGGAATAGCTCCCCAAATTTCAAGCTGAAGACCAATATACCAACCTTCTTGTTTCCCTGAAATTACTTCTGCATGAGAGTCAGAAAACAGGAAGTCGAAGTGCACGGGGATGTCAGTCAGGAGGTCTTCCAGGATGGCTCTCTGCTGGCTGTAAGAGAGCCCAAAACTCTACATATCAAAGTACTACATCCTGAATTTTTCTGTTTCGAAAAAAGAAAAGAAAAACCCCCAAACTGTGGCTCTGGTATATCCTATATGAAACAGTTAATTTTAAAAGCAAAGCAATTCATTGAAACGACTGTTTATTTTAGGATGGCATATTCAGGAGTTGTGTGAAATCCTGTGATTCCTAGATGTAAAACCACAACTGCAAACAATCCTTAAACTAATAAAATAGAAAATCAGTTTTTTTAAAATGACAATTTTATAGTTTACTATTTACAGTCATAAACAAATACAAAGATATTTGGTGAGTTCTGGCTAAGGGAAAACTTCTGGTACTATTACAGATTTGAAGAAAGAATTTTTAATGTCTTCCTTTTGATGAAGATGATGGAAGAGGAGGAAGAGGGGGAGGAGCGACAGGAGGGAGAAGAGTAGGAGAGAAACCCCCACCCCCACCCCAGGCCTGGCCTGCCCTCCTTGGAGGACTACCTTTCGGGAAGGATTCTCATTCCAGCTGTGCAGAGAATGTAGAGAGGGGTCTCTTTGTGCTTTGCCCGTGGCACATGCTCTGCAGCAAAGTTCAAGAGCGGAGAAATGTAATCACTGACTTTCTCCGGAGAGGTAGCAAATTCTGAAATGCCTAGAGAGAAAAATTGTTCTGTCAGCAGGTGGATATTTTAGCTAACAAGTTCTGCTTCTTCAGTGCAGCTCGTCTGAAAGAAATGCCAGCTACACATCGTACTCTCCTGGTTTTTCCCTACCCCTCTGGCAACTCCTTCCAGTCTCTTCCTTAAATGATGGTAGTACTAAATGCTCAGTACCACGCTCTCTTCTTCTCAGTCATCACAAAACACAGACCTAACTGAACATCTCCTGTGTCAGACTCTTGGGATCAATTGCACAGGAACTCATCCCTGCCCTCAAGAAACATGTTCCCATTTCTTCAGGCAGCACTCACTCCCACGGCTGCCATCACCATCTACATGTCTTGGATCTCCAAGTACCAGCAGCCACCGAGATCTCTTCCCTAACCTCCAGATCACTATGTGGTAACTGTCCACTGGACATGGCCACGTGCTTGTCCTCATAGACCCCCAAACTCAACATATGCAAATCTGAACTCGACTTCCACTACAAACCTGCTCTTACTGCTTGTTATCTACTTCAGCGACCACCATCACCGGCCATCCAGCAGCCCAAGCCAGTATCCTGGATAAAAATCCCTCTCCCTGACCCCAACATGCATCCTGGGTTTCAGTGACTGCCTCTCCTTGGTTCCTCTCACATTATTTCACTTCTCTTCATCTCTTTTGGACAGCACCACCCTCCCAGCCTGCTGCAACCATCCTACTCTCCAGTCTTGGCAATCCCCCAACCATTCCCTATGCAAAGGGTGTCTCCTCCTGGCTTAAAATTCTTTTGCGGCTCCTCAACGCTCTCCACATAAAGCTCAAATCTAGAATAGCATAACCTGCCTTGCATATTCACTCATCCTATCATTTCCCATGTTCCTTCCATTCAACTTCAACTATACTGAATAAAAATTTCCATAATGCATCATACTCTGGCCTCAGGACCCCTGCACCACCACCAGGAAGAGCTTCTCTTCGTCTGCCTCCCTATCCACTTCCCACCCCTTTTCACCTGGGCAGCTCCTGCTCATCCTCTTAGCTACTTCCTGTACGGAGTCTTCCCTAACAGAACCCTGAAGATGAGCTCGCACTACATTCTGCACTCACCCCTACCTCTAGCTGTAGCACTCATCACACCTTATCAAAATTACCTATTTACTCGCCTGTCTCATTTCAACTAGAAGTTTCTTAAGGGCACAAACTGTAGCTTGTTCAAATTTATATTCTCAGCACCTAACACAGTACCTGGCAAATATGAGGTGCTCAGCAAATAGCTGTTGAATGAGTATATAAGGGAATGAATATTTCCAGCTGTCTTCTAGCCTACAGTATTAAAGATGAAGGGGTGTTTAGAAGTCCACAAATTCCTTATTTCATACATTAGGAAATTGTGGACCCAGAAAGATTAAGTGAGTCGTCAAAGTAATCAGCAGAAAACAGACTAAAAGCCAGACTTTCTGACTCCACATACAATGCTATTTCAATTTGGACACAAAGCCCAAAACTATCCAGAATCTATTAAGAAAATTTCTAGAGCTTTGCTGTAATGCTATTCAGGAGAGTCCACACTTGAGGACAGAGAAGCGCTACAAAAAGGTACTTGAGTTTCCACTTCAAACACTTCTTAGCATCAGAGAGAACCATGTTAAGTCTGATTTTAATGAGAGTCAGGTGTATACCCTAGTATACTATTGTAGCTGTCCCTTGGTTCTCAAAGGACAACACCAAGGCATGAAAGTTTTCATCTTATTCCACAAGAGCAGTTTAATCACTGATGGAACACTGGTATGTGAAACTGGATGAAATGCAAAGTGCTTTATAGAGTTTTATTTTTTAATCTTCTGGTGAATTTTTTATTTGATCACTATTACTTTAGTCCTGAAAATCTTTCTAGATCAGGGATACATAAAAATTTAAGGGGTGGGAAAACAGGAAACTAAATTTAAAAGTCATTCACTAAGACTTACAGAAAAATTGATCTTCATTCATGGAAATATATGCTGATATCAAAATAACGTTTGTTCAAGAGACAGATTAAGTTCCCTCTCTTTAACCTGAAAAATGCAGTAGAGACTTTGAATTTTCTGAGCAATATGCTGGTGCCCAGCTGCCCAAGCATCAAAGAACAATCAGCTTGTTCAAGGATGCCGAAGAAGGAAGTGGGGCCTGAATTACTCAATGAAGAATGAGTAAGCCTCCAGGGGTCTGCAGTCTACGTGGCTGGGAACCGTTTGATGAGGATAGGTATTTTGTCATGTTAAAACTGACTCTCCTTTCACTTACATATATATTTTTTTTTTTTTGCAGGTGTTTTTTTTTTGAGGAAGATTAGCCCTGAGCTAACATCTGTTGCCAATCTTCCTCTTTTTCCTTTTTCTCCCCAAAGCCCCAGTACACAGTTGTATACGCTAGTTGTAGGTTCTTCTAGTTCTTCTATGTGGGATGCCGCCTCAGCACGGCTTGATGAGCAGTGAGCAGGCCCATGCCCAGTATCCAAACCGGCGAACCCCGGCTGCCAAAGCTGAATGCATGAACTTAACTGCTACACCACTGGGCCGGCCCCTTATATTTTTGAAATAGGAGATAATGAGCTATGATTAATTTTTATCAGTATTCTCTAATATTTTAAAAGATAAAATCCTTGGGTTGTTTGGATTTAATATTTTACTACTTAATATATTAGCAAGATGAAATAAAAGTGCTAAATCTCTATTAAGATCTATGGTCCACTGTTTTAAACCAGTGATTATCAACTATCAAGATGTAAAATGCCTATTCCAAGGTCCTCCTGACACCTTCCACTCCTACTGATCTTGACAGTGGGGTGTGGCCCATGAAATGGTGCAGATACAGAAACAGGTTGAGAACCACTGAATTAAATAGTCCAACGAGGAAGGCAAATCCCAATTTTTACATGACACACTGACTTAGAAGTTCTGATATTTTTAAAAACTAGACATGATACCAGCTCTTCTAAGTTCTATGGTGACCCTTATCAAATACTCTAGGTGATTAGGAATACACTGGGGCAGCTATTCTTTAAATGACACATACTAATGTACTAGAGAACAGCTACCCATGGGTTATCTGAAATTCCCTTGCCATTAAGGGTAGAGACCAATGACTACTTGGATAGGAAAAAAATCCCTCCATAACTAATGTCAAGTAGCAAGCATGTGAGCAGACACCATGAGTAAGGCCCGACGATAAATGCTGCAGGAGACAAAAAGATAGACCTGATTTCTGGATACTTGATTAAGGTGTTAGTCACCTTATACAAGATGCATAGAAAAGGGAAAAGAAAGTGAAACCTGGAGACCAACTGGGTCCTGGTGTGAGCTCTGAATTAGGGAGATGACATTGGGGTGAGAAATGGAAAGATGTGAAAGACATCACAGAGAATGAAGGGACAGAACCCGGTTACCAGTCACATATTTATCATTTACATACCAGGTTTTATTTTCATAACTACCGGCTTTCGGTTCTTATCCCTCATTTGTCTGATATCCAACAGATCATGAGGATTGCCATTATGCCTCGGCCAGCAATAGACGAATATTCGAGACCCACTGCTACCACAGTCCACCACGATGCCATAGTTCACATTGGGGTTATCGGTGTCTGTAGCTTCAATGTCAGTAACTCGTGCCAAGTACCTTGTTTAGAAAAACAAACATACACTTTTAGTGAGACAGAGAATATCACGCTAAACCTAACAGAGCAAACACGATAAACAAATGTCAAATCAGTGATTTCTAGGCTGCACAGTGGCACCACTGTAATGTTTTTACAACTGCCAAATGATTAAAGAGTCAAAAGAAAACAAAACAAGCAGTAGTGATAATCTAAGTCAGATACACACTCATTATTCCTTTAAAGAAGTTCAAACAAGTTCTAAAAAGCAAAACTCTATTTCCAAACCATCAACATTAACTGCAAAATCAGCTTTTAGGATATCACAGGAGAAGCTTATGTTTAAATCCTCTTATGATGTGGATCTGGTGGTTAACAATTAATGTTTCAAACAGTTTAATTTTTCATGCCGTGCTGTATTCAGCACAGAATCTGTTTCCTAAAGCCACATGCTCCTTAAATTCCAACCTAATCCCAAAAGTCTTGAAGCCATGAAATGAAGGTACGGCATCTCACCTAGAAAATAAATATTTTTTTTCCCTTACCTTTGAAACTTCTTGTCTCTGGATAGCCGCCCATACTTATTTCGGATTATGACAACAGAAAAGTATAAAAGTGAAACAGCAGCAGCCAGAATGCTAATTACAATAATCTGGCGTAAACTGGTATTCAGAATTCGAGGACACCCTGCTGGAGAGATGCTAAAATGCCAGGAAGCAGGGAAAAGACAGGAGATGCCAATCCTGAAATTCCAAAAAAACAGATTTTAGAGCAATCTGCTCCAAAGAGGCCTCCCCTTGCCTAAACTGACCGGAAAATAACACAGTCAACTTGAGCTACCCTATTTCCCTGCGGGTGGCTATCTGTATACCAGCATCTTCCATATTGCTGTTCTGCTATATAACTCAGTATTATGAAATCATATGAATGAGAATTAAGCCCTGATCGTTATGACACTTCTGTGTTTTCCCCCCCTTTTTGGGAGCATTATGTAGATTTTTATTTGTACCCTGCTTTGTTCCAAAAAAACAGAGACAGCTTACAAGTTCAATACAATAAATCTATAATGAAACCAGGTTTAAGGATGATGAAACCAAAGGACAATTTAGTACACAAAAATGCATATAATAAGGTAGGCCTGCAAAGCCGGCTGAGCATCCTAGTGGCTAAAACTTTGCCATTAGATTAGAAAAATATAAATAGCCCAGGAGGAATAAGATTTTCTTAACACTGAATTCCAAGGCAAATTTCTCCCTGATGATTGAGTGAGAAAACGGGAGAAAACAGTATCTTTAACAACACCCCCATAACAAAGTCAATAAATGAGTTTTGTATGTCCTGTGTTTTTAGAAATACTCCTAAGACATTTTTGCAAATAAACACTTTTCCTCTCAGTTTATGTCAGGAATGAGAGACAAAAAAAAAAAAAAGGCTTAAAAAAACCTTGCTGCCTTTAGAATAAATTTTATTGCTTTACATTTAATTTCTACACTCTTCATTTAAAGAGTGCTTCCTGGACTAAAATATCCCACAGGAGGGGAGGTATCCTGCTACCCAACGGAATTTCCCATTTGTCATTTCTGGTCTCCATGTGGGTTCTTGGTCCAATCCCTGGGGTTTAGCATCCCCTCCCCACACCTCCGAGGCTTACACATGGTTATCCTGTGCTTACTATAGCCGCTTGCAGATTCCAACCCGCATGGCCTTTACGGTAAACTACAGTAACCCTGCAGAATCCACCTGTCATTATCACTTTCTTTCTTTGACAGGACGCCACTGGGGCCCTGGAAGAACAAAGGTGTCAAACATAGTGTAGCACAACTTTGAACACTTTTCACTTGGGATTTAGACTTTTTTTGCCTCACAAGCTGTTTCTGTGGCACCGAAATCTCAGGTTTTACGGTGCCAGCGACTAGGCACTGTCACTCACCTCCCCATACTGATGGGTCAGAGCTCAGGCAATGTTCTGGGGGTCAGTCCTCACACAGAAACAATGGGGTCCTCCAGAGTTAGCCTCCTGTTCCAGGAAGTGAGAAAAGTCACAAAGATGGCACAATCCGAGAAAACGTCTATGCTCTTTTTCAAGTGCCAATGTTTAAATCCAACCACACATAACCCGGTATGTGATCCTTGCACTGAAGCTGTTAGAAAGGCTTACTTTGAGCAACACACTTCTAAGTTAATTTCATGCTGTCAGAGATACAGGCCTAACTCAAGAGACGGTAAGAGTCTGGCACCGGTTAGTGCTCTCTACCTAAAAGCACATCTCTGACCCAAAAATACCAGGTCACCAAATAGGTCTTAACCACCTTACGGTACTGAATGTTAAAGAAGATCAGGGGTTGGGGTAGTAGGTAGGCAGAACAATTAATTGCATGGTAATTTGAAATATCCATTCGTTTGACTGGTATCTATTAGATCTTTCTTTAATGTACAAAATACAATGTCAGGTACTATGTTCCTATTTAGCTCTCGGTCACTTTCACAGTCATTGCCACTCCTCCAGCTCCCAGACCTCAAACCACGGAGAAAACAGGGACCTACAGCCAGGGCCTCCTTCTGACCTGCCGGATCCAAAGGACGCCTTATAGTCTGTATCTTTTTTAGTCTTGTGGTACTGCTTTATTTCTTCAGGGCCTCCCAAGACTGTCTCCCCTAGTCTGCTTCTTAGCTCTTGAACACTCCTTCTCAGGATCCTCCAAGTCTCCTCGTTTCTGCAAATCCTGTCTGCTCTGTTCCCCAGGGTTCTTTCTGTCTTGGCTCCATTCTCTTCTAACTCTGACGTTGGTTCCTGGTCAACCTCATTTACTGCATCAATTATTGGATTGATCCAAAAATTTCTTTCTTCACCCCAGGCTTCTCTTCTGAGCCACCTTCCAGAGCCTACTCATATCTCCATCTGAATGTGGCACAGGCCCACGAAAAATATTTCTGAAACTGAACTCTTAAACTGCAATCTTCACTCTCTTTTCTCCCAACCTGCTCCTCCCTTGCAGTCTCAATCTCAGTTCCACAGCTGCTCACACCAGACACTAGGGAGTCATGCCTGACCGCTTTCTCCCCTTCATCTGCCATAGCCAATTTCTGACAGATGCCTGCCATTTCTTTAACCTCAGTTTATCTAAAATCTGTCCCTCCTCTTATCACTTTTGCCTGAGGTCAGTTTCATCTCTGGCCTGGTCTAGCAGAACAGTAGCCTAACTAGTTGGTATCCTACCTGAGGTCTCAACTCAGCGGCTCTCCAGTTCTTCATCCAATACCTTTTTTTTTTTTTTAATATTTTATTTATTTCCCCCCCCAAAGCCCCAGTAGATAGTTGTATGTCATAGCTGCACATCCTTCTAGTTGCTGTATGTGGGATGCGGCCTCAGCATGGCCGGAGAAGCGGTGCGTTGGTGCGCGCCCAGGATCCGAACCCGGGCTGCCAGCAGCGGAGCGCGCGCACTTAACTGCTAAGCCATGGGGCCGGCCCATCATCCAATACCTTAAGGCGCAGATTCTTCATCTGAAGTTGATACCCATCCCTGTCCTGGCTCAGGCCCAGGATCTTGCAACCCTGATACCGGAATCCTCCAACAGCTCCCACTGCACTCAAAGTAAACTGCAAAGGCTTTACCCTGGCTTAAGTAGTGCTCCAGGATCTCGCCACCTGTCACCGCTCTGACTCCTCCTCTCCTCTCTCCTTTTCAGGGCATTCCACCTGCACCAGCAACCTTGCTGTCTTCAAATATGCCAGGCACTGTCTAGTCTCCAGGTCTCAGAACGTGCTGCTCCATCGGCTTGGAAATAATCTGTACAGCTCACTTTTTCACTCCCTCAGGTCCTTAATGTCACCTTCTCAGGGAGGCCTTCCCTGGCTACCCTATCTATAACGCAAGCTCTCCCCAACATCTATCTCCCTTCTCTGATTTATTTCTTCTCCTTAGCATTTACTTATTTATTAAATACTTATATAGTGCTTATTATGTGTCAGGCTCTGCTCAAATGCTCTACAAATATTAATTTACTCCTCCTAACAGCCTACAAAGTAGGCACTATTTGCACAACATTTTACTGATGAGGCAGAGAGGCTACGCAACTTGTCTAAGATCACACAGCCAATAAAAGGTGATATAAATAAAAGAGCTGGGATTCAAACGTGAGAATCCATGCTCTCATCCTGGTCCTCTAATATCCTGTGTGTGTGTGTGTGTGTTTGCATTTCTCTTGCTCCCGTGTCTCCTCCTCCAGAATGCAAACTCCACGAGGGGCCAGATGTATGTCTGCTTGGTTGACTGCTGCATTCCCAGCACTGCAGACCCTAGGAAAGTGCCTGGCAAGAAATCAAGTGTCAGAGTTCTGGGACCCAAAAGGTTAACAGCCTATACACTAGAGTGATCTGTCCAAAACAAACAGAAACCATGACACTTCACTTCCTCTCTCACTCAGGAAAACGTCCTAACTCCTTTGGATGGTAAACGAGGTCCCTCACGATCTAGTCTTATGCTGTTCAATATGGCAGCCGTTGCCGTGTGTGGCCATTTAATGTAATTAAAATTAAAAATTCCTCAGCTGCACCAGCCATATTTCAAGTGCTCAACAGCCACATGGAGCTTCTGCATTAGACAGCAGTGATCCAGCCTCTATCTTTCTAGTCTTGTCCCATGAGAGAGAGACTGGACAGATATGTACCCTATGTTCCAGACATACTGAACACAAGCTGCAAGTCACAGAAACGCCCCGCATTCCTCTGCATTTGAGAGAACGACTCAAAAAGAGAACGACTCTCTCTTTTGGATCCATCTGTTGGCATGCCTATATATTCTCTGTGACACAAGTCAAGCGTGGCTCCTCTGTCAGGACTTCCCTAACCCTCATATCCCAGAGTATTTGCTCATCACTGCCGTGGGCTACAGTTTTATACTTGTAGCTGACCTTTTTATTACATGGCAAGCCCCTCATTGACAGGGAAAGCCTCCTATTCGTCTGTTTCCCCAGTGACCAGTGCCTGTCACACAAGCAATGAGCAACTACTGTTTGTTTCATGGATGGCTGGGAGTGGGAGATAGAAAGATGAGTCAGATATGGAGACAGCCCTTAAAGAATTTATAATACAGAAGAGGGGATACAACACACACATACAAAGATATATTACAGAGTAAAAAGTATTAATAATGCCTACCTGACAAAGGAGGAAAAATCATTTTAACTAGTTCAGGTTTTAATATGGTGTCCATATTATACCATGTACCCAAAACTCAGGACAAACAATATTTGTGACTTAAAAGTTTACACAAAAAGGAAAAAAAATGTCAATTACCTGAATGTTTAAATGAATTTTAATATGTTTTTATAAAGTAGCTACCTTTTAGCATTTGAATATGGTGACATTACTACATGACACCTTTTATTAGAATTCTAGTGGCTCACAGATTTAAATATTAAAAATATCCATATAAATGTAAGATTAAAATGTAGGTAAATATTTATATAATCTTGGAATGGGTAAGGCTTGTCTACAAATGACATGAATGTCTCAAACCATAAATGAAACAAAATATATCTACATATGAGTTTGAGACTTCTGAGTCTTTAAAAAAAAATCCCTTCTCAATATTCTTTTAAGATTATTTTGGCTACAGCAACTGAGGAACTCAATATTTAATTTTAATTACATTAAATAGCTGTATGTGGCAATGGCTATCATATTGAAAAGATTATTGTGTATTTGTGAAAAAAACACAAGGCTTGGGAAACTTACTTGTAACATATATGCCAAAAGGTAAATAACTCTTACAACTATAAATAAATAAAAGAAACACTGGAACACAAAAATGAGCAAAGATAATTGGAAATTAACAAAATAAGAAATACAAATGGCTGATAAAATATAACTTCATGAGTATCTATAGAAATATAAATAAAAACAAGACTTTGCCACTATCAGATTGGCAGAGATTAATGTCTGATGATCCTCTGCTAACAAAAAGGGGGGAAGGTGGTGTGAGTACTGTTGGAGAGACTCTAAACAGAAGCCAACCTTTTGGTGCATATGGGTAACGTACATGAAAATTTTACACGTCCTTCCCCTCTGCTCTACTTCTACTTCCAGAAATTCACCCTTAGGAAATGATATGTAAATTCACTAAAAATGTATAAAGATGTTCATCAGTTCAGTATTGTGTATAGTAGCAAAACATTGTTACTAATGTGCAGTATAGGGGGTGGGTGAAATTACACACTATCCATTTAAGCAATGGAATACAATGTGACTCTTAAAGGCAACGATGCAGATCTATATTTATTGACATGGAAAGATATCCATGATATATTCATGCGAAAAAACTATATCATGTATAGAGGGGGAAAATGGAAGGAGAGAAACCAAAATGTTAACACTGGTTAATTATTTCTGAGTAGATAATGGATAACCTTTATTTTCTCCCCTAGGCTTGCCTATATTTCTTAGAGGGCATATATTAATTATATCATCAGAAGAAACAATAGAACCATTTTTAACCAGCTACCTTTGACTGATACCTCCAGTTTCCAGCACCAAAGCCTCTTCTGGATATATCGAGAAAGGCTATCTTAAAAACTCTCCATGACAGGAATTCCAATCTGAACATTTTTTAAAATCGATAATTTTGTGATAGCTGAACTAAGAACAAAAGAAAAGAATGTTTTAGTTAAAGTCAAGGTCCTTGGGGGAAGAAAGAACTTTAATGATTCAATGTTGAGTACTATGCAGTGACATGAAGGGCAGAGAGCAGTAGCAAACCTGACTCCAGATTTCAAGGAGTTTGCAGATTGGTTACAAAGAAAATACTAACACCCAGGAAATAATCAAGAGAAGAACAGAAGGCAACGTTAAATGATCTGACACACTCTGTAAGAGTTCAGAGAGAGCACAATGAAGGCAAGTTAACAGGCAGAGATTGCTGGGGGTGGGAGGTAGACTTGGGATGGGGAAGAGAAAAGAGAATACATTTCAAAGGAGAAGAGGCACTGTCAGAATTATAGCAAATTTAGTAAATGTTATTT